TTGCCTTCCACCATGATTGTAAGCTTATAATCATTAGGCCTCCTGGGGCCTCCCCAGCCATCTGGAACTGTGAGTCAATTAAACCTCTTTCCTTTATAAATTACCCAGTCTCAGGTAGTATCTCTATAGCAGTGTGAAAATGGATTAATACTACATCTATTGTGTTGTAGCTACATAGTGTATTATTAGACAAACCATAAATATTGTATCTGGCTTGTTTGATGTCCATAATAGTGTATCAGTCAACTGTTGCTGCATAACAAATAACCACAAAATTCTCAAGTTGCATATTTCTTGTTCATGCATCTGTTGTTTGACTGAACTTTTGCTGGCACTCAGCTGGACTTGACACCAATTGTGGTCTGGGTTCAGATCTGTTCAACATGTCTGTCATCCTTCTTGGGCCAGCAAGCTACCTGGGCCATATGCTTCTTGTGCACATAAGCACAAGAGGGCAACCCCAACCATGCAAAGACATTCTAAGCCTCTACTTTCGTCATGCCTGCTTACATTCCATTTTCCAAAGTAGGTTATGTGGCCAAATCCAAATTCCCAGGCCAGGGAAGTACTGTTTTCCCAGCTCTTGTTCACTCTGCTTTATCTACATTGGATTTCTTGCCGTACTTGAGCAAGTCAGTCACACTCCCCTCTCAGAGTCTTTACATTTGCCAGTCCTTCCGTGTGGAGCACTTTTCCCTCAAATACTTGTGCAACTCATACCCTCCAGTTCTTAAAGCTTTTGCTCAACTGCATCTCATCAATGAGGACTTCCAAGACTCCACTTTCTGATGACTCTCATTGTCCCTTGCTAGCCCTCTCCTCAGAGTGTTCATCACCACTGAACATACCTATATAGTTTACTTATTTGCTTGTTAAGCCTGTGTGCCTCCATAAGAATGCGAGTTTCACAGAGAGAGTGTGTGGGTGCGGTTTGCCTATTGATATATCTTCAGTGAACAATAGTTGGATTTTAATAAATATTTGAATAAATAAATTAATCTTACTGTTTTTAAACTTCTGTGGTTTTTAAAAGGCATTTTAAAAATTTGGGTTAGTATCAAATATTACAGTGGTATTACTTTAACTTCAGGTTTCATTTAGCTGTTTTAACTTTTACAATATATTCTGACACAGAAAATATTAGGCATTAAGCATTTTTTTTTGACAGATAGTTTCTTTATTCATCCTCCTCCTCCTCCTCCTTCTCCTTCTTCTCTTCTTCTCTTCTTCCTCCTCCTCTTCTTCATCTTCCTCTTCAACCTTTTTCCAGGCAACTTTAGCAGGACCCTTTGCACCATCAAACTTTCCTTTCGACTTATAGTCAGCAGCATCCTTCTCATACTTCTCCTTCAGCTTTGCTGCCTTAGTGATGTAAGGCTGCTTTTCACTGTCATTTAAATTATTCCACATCTCACCCAGCTTTTTTGCCACATCTCCAATAGAGATGTCGGGGTTTGTGGATTTGATCTTGGGGTGGAATTCTGAACAGAACAGGAAGAATCCAGACGGTGGCCTTTTGGGAGCATTAGGATCCTCCTTCTTCTTGCCTCCCTTAGCTGGTCCATAATCCTTCATTTCCCGATCATAGAGCACTTTATCTGCCTTTGCCATTTCATCAAATTTAGATTTCTCTTTCCCGGACATTGTCTTCCACCTCTCACAGCACTTCTTGGAAAATTCTGCAAAATTGACAGGGACCTCTGGGTTTTTCTTATGTTCTTCTCTGCACGTCTGCACAAAGAAGGCATAAGCAGACATCTTGCCCTTTGGTTTCTTGGGGTCACCTTTAGCCATCCTGACTGTATTGTTCGCTAGTCTCGCATTAAGCATTTTTCAATGAGTTGATTCACTTCTACTCATGCACATATGTGATGTCTGATTTCGATTCTTAAAAAGAGATGAGCCTGGGCGTGGTGGCTCATGCCTGTAATCCCAGCACTTTGGGAGGCCGAGGCCGGCAGATCACGAGGTCAGGAAATTGAGACTATCCTGGCTGACACGGTGAAACCCCATCTCTACTAAAATATACAAAAAATTAGCCGGGCATGGTGGCACGTGCCTGTAGTCCCAGCTACTCAGGAGGCTGAGGCAAGAGAATCGCTTGAACCCGGGAGGCAGAGGTTGCAGCTAGCTGAGATTCCACCACTGCACTCCAGCCTGGACGACAGAGCACGACTCTATCTCAAAAACAAAAACAAAAACAAACAAAACAAACAATGAGTTAAAACCATCTTGAGAAATCGTGAAAATATTGAGAAAAGAAGAAAACAAGATTATATTCTACTTGTTTTTATACTACCTAGAATGTAATAGGCACTCAAAAAATATCTGAATGGATGCAATTATCACTGCTATAAAAGTTTTCCATTAAAGCAAATAAGCCAATTTTACATTTGCATTATACTTGGACACTCATATTAAAGACTCACAGAGAGTTTATCTGGAAAGATAAACTTGGCTGACATCATTAGGTTTATACTTTATAATTTGATCTTTGAAATAATTCAGGAACAGGAATGCCAGTCACTTCATTGAACTGTGCCTGAATTTTAACACAGTACAACTGAGTTCCTAGAGCTCCAATATGATGTAATTAAACTGTCAGAAATATTAACATCGATGCTCATGAGCGTCGTTCATGATGTTCTCTTGGTTCTGATTTATTCGGTAAGGCATACTTTCACTAAAGTGGACTTACTGTCATTAAAAATGCCTCATGTTTCCCAATTCAGCAAAAATTTGCATCAGTAATGGAACAGAGAGATGTAATCAGCCCTTCAGTTGTCAGGATCTTGATCCTCTTGGTAGTATTTCATTCATTTCATCTTCACCAGATAATGGTAGTTTAAAACTGCAAGAAAAATGAAACTAAAAATACTCAATTTCACTTCTTTTTCTAAAGGCACAAACTTAAGCAAATAGTGCATGTGTGTGAGGGGGGAGGAAGAGAGAAAGAGAAGAGAAGAGAGAAAGAGTTTGTAACTATTCCTTTTCTGCTTCGTGACCTTAATTCTTCAGCACCTGTTTCCTGTACTTGATATTGCAAAGAGGTTTCCTGTGGTATGTTACCAGGAGACTCACATAGTCTGAGGCTTTTTATCTACCTTACGTTCTTATCCCTCCATTCTAATAAAAATATGAAGCCTCACATCCACCTAGAATATGATTTTGTCTTAATGGTTAGCATTGGCAGTGATTCTTTTAGCTTCTGCTGTATAAAAAAAAAAAAACCACACAAGGAATAAATGCAGGATTATAATCATAGATGAAAATCCAAGTGGCATAGACCAAAGGAAATGACAAGCATATTTAAGTCATTTACTCACTGGCTTCCGAAGCAGTTCCAAGTCAGATGTAAAACTGAGGTTGTCCCTAAGCAAGTTCACTATGGTTGACTTGCTAAAGCAAGGTCTTGTTTTAGATGGAAGTGACAATGGGCAAAACAAATAGAGCTTGAATAGAAGTTATTTTCACTATTGGAAGATTGTATATTATGAAAAATTACTTTCAAATTTTGTTTGCACCTAAGAAATTTCCCTTTTACTTGCAAATGCTGTTTGAAGTGTATTTCTTTAACACATGAACAAACAATAGAGACACAGATCCACAAAATCTACAAGGAGACTTCCAATCCCAGTGAATATCATCCATCCATATGTTTGTTTCCAGATCATCATTCTCTCCTCACATAAACAGTCAAAATTTTTGTAATGTCTTCTTTATAAAACCCAAAACATAATTATGATAAAGTAGTCCCAGGTAACAAAGAGGAAAGGACTATAACTCTCTGGTATATGCCATATCTACAGTTTTTAGAATATTCATATTTCATGACCTATATAGGACACATACTATTTTTATTTCTATTACATTGGAGTTTAAAGGTACTTGAGTTTCATTTGTATTTTTGGTTAAATGTCAAAAGAAAGTGAAGAAAAGACCTCAGTGTCTCAACTCCCTTTTTACCTTCATGAAGTGATTACAAAGTGTTCAGTTCTTATTCTTTTGTGTTGAGGAGACTGCACTGCAAGTGTGCAGTAATACTTATTTTATTACATAGAACAAAGTTTCACATTTGTTAATGGGGCACAAAAGAGAGTTTGTCAGTTTTACCTTTTTCCATTGACTTTTTTTTTTTAATTTTTAGATTTATTTTGTTTGTTTTAAATAGAGACAGAGTCTCACTGTGTTGCCCAGGCTGCTCTCAAATTCCTGGCATCAAACACTTCTCCCACCTCGGCTTCCCAAGGGGCTGGGATTACAGGCATGAGCGACCACACCCAGCCTGTTTTTTACTGAAGTATAATATTCGTACGTATTTATGGAGTACATGCGATTTTTTTTTTTGCATACACAGAATGTATAATGATCAAGTCAGGGTATTTAGAGTATTCATTATCTCATGTATTTATCATTTCTATGTGCGGGGCACATTTCAAGTAATTCTTCTAGTCAGCTTTTAAAAAGATACACAGTAGGCTGGGCGTGGTGGCTCACGCCTGTAATCCAAGCACTTTGGGAGTCCGAGGTGGGCGGATCATGAGGTCAGGAGTTCGAGACCAGCCTGGCCAATATGGTGAAACCCTGTCTCTACTAAAAACACAAAAATTAGCTGGACATGGTGGTGCATGCCTGTAGTCCCAGCTACTCGGGAGGCTGAGGCAGAGGAATCGTTTGAACCTGGGAGGCAGAGGTTGCAGTGAGCCAAGATCGTGCCACTGCACTTCAGCCTGGGCAACAGAGCGAGACTCCATCTCAAAAAAAAAAAGATATACAGGTTTTTTTTTTCTCCAAGGGTAATGATACAGATAAACTACTGTATGGAATTCATCCCTTTAAAGAATTATTTCCTAATTACTAAGCTTGAGGAGTTTTTTTTGTCATTTATGAGCAAGTGAAATGAATTTATAATGGTGTTAAAAATGTAATTATGGCCCTTTTCTTTAATATCTGCTTTGTATAAATGTAATTTTCCATTATTTGTTTTTGCTTTTATTAAGGTGAGGAAGATGTTCTCAGTCCTCCCCAGGACACAAGCACAGGGTTGGAGGAGGTGATGGAGCAACTCAACAACTCCTTCCCTAGTTCAAGAGGTAAGCTCAAATACCTAGAAGGGACTCAGATTTGCTGGGATCAGGCCACTTGCTTCCCCACCCAACTGGTGTGTGTATTTCCATCTGGAAGCCAACACACGGTATCAGAATGGCAATTTGGGTCCATGGTGAAAAGATTTGATTTGTAAGTGTGAATTTCTGGTGTAGAGTATTCTGAATTCAAATACCTGTGAAGTCAACATGTTTCCAGAAATAAGAATACCACCTTCTATTTGTCAAGTATTTTACCTGCTTCACACATTAGTCTGAAGAGTTAATTATGAGGTGCCCTTTACTGAAGAGCAATTATTATGTGACTTTTACAGATGACGAAATTAATGCCCTGATAGTGCCTTTGCCAGGGACATATGGCTACTACGTGCTACAGCAAGGCCTAGAACATGCCTACTGATCGGTGGTGGTAGAGATTCTGACTTGCAGTCTGATGCCCTTTATATTTAAAAATTGTATCTTACTCCATCATTTAAATATAGGGACAACTAAATCTTCATAGAGTAGTTGGTTATTATTTTTTACTTCAAGAGAGGGAATACAGGCTTAGCAAAGAAAGACATTAATATTTTTCTTTTTCTTCATCACTTCGGCCTTGCGTATTTTGTTCCCATACAAAAACAGCATTTTACCACACAGAATTTTCCCACTGGCTTGCATGAGCTTCAGATGTCTTGCTTCATCCAAGATGATATTTTGCTACTACTGTTCGTTTCTGGGGGCATTTATTTGGTTTATTGCCCTCACATAAAACAAAGTCACTGTCTTGCCTTCCTTCAACGAATAACAAGGATGGTGGCAGTCACCTGTGATCAAATAGAAGGAAAGCCTAGAGAAACAAAAGGGAGAAAACACAAGGCTTTGTGGCCAGTGATTGGCACCTCTAATGGGCAGCCTGGGAGGGACAGGCAGCAGGAAATCTGGGCTGTTTGTTCCTCTCCATAAGGGCAATGAGGAGGGTGTATTGAGTAGTGTGTTTTTCCTATCTTTTTGTTCAGTGTCAGTTAACAATGGCCATTTCCTAGCTATTTGATGTGCAAGTAAACGTTGTGCAGTGCACATTAAAAGCAATAATGTTCTGGTAGAGCGTTGCTAAGGAACCGTCAGGGGAAGCTAATTTTAAATGTCTGCACCAGCCATCTTTTCACTGCTGAGCGCCACTGATGTGTTGATTTTAACAGATAAAAATCTTATCTGTCTTCCACCCACCCCCACATCCCCCACCGCCACCCGCATCCCCATCCTGACTATCTTAGGTATCTCCTCCTTCTAGATGTCATAATTCATAATGAGAAGATCATACACAGGCTTGACAGAATCAAGTGCTTTCACCTTTCTCCTCATTACTTTGTCCTGCCCGCTTTTACTAGCACCTACTACGTACCAGTGGAGGTAGTAGGGATGAAAAGAAGAAATGACAAGTTCCTTGCCTTCAAGGTACTTACAGTCAATTGCGGATACAGAATTCCAAAGAAATTCAAATCACAGTACAATCATTGATTACTGTATGATCCTGGCCCCTTGAACTGGTAGCTTGTTTACCTGCTCTGGAAAGTTGGTGGCTGCCCTGTTGGCACCCTGGGCATTTCTTCCACATCTAAACAAGAGGTCAGCAGAGACGAAGTTACAGCAAGGCTCATGACTCTGCTTCTTCATAGGCAGCCTTGACTTCCTAGACTCCTTTTTGTACCTGACTCTCTGGTCCACCCTTATTAGCTGTAAGGTGAAATCCTTTGCACCATCTCCCTGCGTCCCACTTTTAGAGTCCTTAAAGCTAGATACCACATGGGTGTAGAAGAAGCTTCCTGGAAGACTAGAAGTATACCTCCTCTGATAAGGTATTTAGCAGTCAGTATCTCTGATGTTGATTTACTTCCTTGTATGGAAACTTGGGAAACTCAATTCAGGCCACCTGGATAGTGTTTACTAAATTAGTGCTTACGGAAGAATTTCAGGCCTTAAGTGCTGATTTAAGTTCTCAAATGTGAGATAAGGAGGCCTTGTCCGACACCAATTCCAGTAACTTAAGTTTCTGCTTACTCAGTGGTACCTTGTGGCCTGAGAAAATTAATCCACATTCTTAAAAAACAAAACAATTAAATAAACAAAAACACAACGAGAGAGTAGCGAAGGTGTTGGAAAATCTGGCCGATCATTCTGTAATACTGTGACCTTGGCATTTCCTCATGTTTTGCTACTTTGAACTAAGCCTTTCTTACAGGCCTTTTCCTCCTCAAATTCAAGTGGACGAGTTTCATTATTGTAAAAATTAGGCTAATTATTGATGCACTCAAAACAGTGGTTTTTGGATGCTTTATTTCCAACCGAAAGCTTTTTTTTTTTTAATTTTGAAAACAGCAGATGTGTGTGTATGTGTATACACATACATATAGAGTCAAGTTTGGCGGGAACATCTTACCAGTTGGTAGATGTGTTCGGCTGATATTAAGCAGAAATTCTTGAGAATCTTAACATCTTGGGATTACAAAGTCTCTCAAATGGAAGAGCCTTGAAAGGTCATTTTAACATTTTTGACATCCAGGACAGTGACTTTTGACCCTGTTTTGATGGTTATCCATATCAGAGAAACATTTTACATCACAAACTGGGGTAACGATACAAATTATACATGTGTTTATGTACACACATGTATATATACACCCACCATACGTACACACACACACATTTACAGTCACATATGCATACAAAGATCACAAACAAAAGTTTCATCAAGTGATGCCTTCCATACTACATACAATGCATGCTGTTTTTCTGTTTTATTTATTTAAAAACAAAATGCTGGTTGCAACCCACTAAATGGATTTTCTGAACCAGTGGTTTAAAAATACTGATCTATCCGATCTCAGTTTTTCTTGCCTAGGTGAATTATCTTTCAAAAAAATTTAAATTTTGAGATTTTTGCCATGGAAGTTTCTGCCAAGACGTTGCTAATGTCTCAGAGACCTTTATAGTTTTATTCTAACACTACAATCCATGTTTTCATTGTTGTGTTACAAAAAACAAAGTTCATGGTTGCTACAGCTGTTTTGGACAGCTGTTTGAGTAACTCAAAACAGATGTGAGAGCCAGAGGTCTGACATTTAGTGGAAATGTGCTATTAAATACCACCTCATGGTTTACTTAACCCTGCTAGATAATTGCCCACAGAGGAAAAGCCGTTTTTAAAAAAACTTATGCTTTTCATAAATATAAAGTATATAGATAGGTAAGCTATTGTGTACCTCAAATTTACAACTTTTCTGTTGCCCCTTGTCACAGAGTTGGTCCTGAAGGTGTCAGCTAACCTTTATCTTTTATTTTCACAAAGAGTACCCAGAAGCCAAGAAAAGTCAAGTGACTTGTTTATGACCATTCAGCAAGTTAAGTTAGGCTTCTAATCGTATCTTAATGGCTTTGCTAAACTGTTATCAAAATTAATAAAGGAGGTGCATGCTTCTCCGTTTAGTGATCAAACGATGGCCAACACTATCCTGCATAATAGGCAATACAAGCAGCAGCATATTCAAGATATGAATGTGTGAACGTGTAGCTTTGTGATGATATCTTTCTGGTTGGTCTCTAGATGATATACTTAGTTGTTCACAAACACTTGGGTGATTTGAGTGGCTCAGTGTAACACTGAATATTAGCCAATTTCTATCTAATCTATCTATCTCTAATCTCTTCCTTTGTAAGTATATGTGTAGAAGTTGAATTCTAGTGTAATAAGTCATTATCTACTATAAGGTACTTTCTAAAGCTCTGCCATTCTATAGGAAAACTACATGGGTAGAAGAAACAAATGTAATTTAAAAAATAACCCCTTTAAGTGATTTGTCCATAAGTCTCTGATCATTTAGCAGACTAACAAAGATATTTTTATTTGTATGTGCATTGATGAAAGAAGTGCTCTCCTAGTCAGCAGTATGGTATCAGGCTCTCTAAAATGTGGTACCACTTTATATAGATGAATGAATAATAGGAGCCAAGATAATAATCCAGAAAGCAGTTAGCAGTGCTACTATTTCTGCTGCCTGTACAATCTCTTGCCTACTGACCTGTGCCACATTATTTTTATCCCCACCAGCCCATGCCATCCTCTTTTTTTCATACCATCCCCTCTCAAGCCCACATACATTCTATCAAATACCCCTAATTTACCAACCCAACAGCTTTGTAAAACCTGCCATCTTTTAAAATTAAAATCTTATTCTGTGGTTCTTTTATGGAAGAACAACATAAAGAACAAAGGCAGATAGAAATATCATGTACCCTTTTTCAGGCACCGTTCTGTTTCCTGTATTCTTCCACAAAGGATTAGAGCAGTTATCCCTTTAATCCAGGACTAGCAAACTACATACAGCCCATATGCCAAATCTGGCCCACTATCTGTTTTTATAAATAAAGTTTTATTGGAACATAGTCACACCTATTCATTTACATGTTGCCTGTAGTTGCTTTCTCATTACCAGGACAGAGTAGTTGCAGCAATGTTGAATAGTTGGTACAGAGACTGTGGGCTTGGAAAGTCTAAAATATTTACTATCTGGCCCTTTATGGGGAAAATTTGCCAGTCTCTGCTTTACACTATTATTTTGTTGTCCATACTGACTCATTACATGTATAGAGTCACAGGCTTCTGTGCTGATCAACTTTCAGCTGAACAAGATTATTGAGCTGAAATTGAATTGATTTATACATTTATATTCATATTCACCAAAGAGCCTGCAAGTGTGGCCATTTGAATTTTTTTGACTTGTTAAATAACAGAAATCCTAAAAAGGGACTCATTCTTCCTTAAGTATTTTAAACAGCCAGTGAATTAATATAAAAGAGGCTAAAAGCACGCAGAAACAGTACTGTCCTGCAATTCAACTCTAAAATAATGACTTACAATCAATAATGTCAATTTTATACTGCCCGAGGAAATTAGACTTCTCTGGACCTGACCAAGCCCTTTAGACTTAGAACTGCCCCAGCACACTTCCCTTTTGTCTTGATTCATTTCCTGACAACATATCACATTGCCAGATGGACACTGTAACTGAAGGTCTATGGAAACTCATTTCCAAAAAAAAAAATATGTTTATAAAATAACACTTTTATCTAAAACTTTATCAGTCAAGAACTTTTAAAAATGTCGTAACCAAGTAGTCTGTTTTGTCAGTGTAGAACTAGTCCTTATACGGTAGAAAATACCACTAGTTTTTAACTTTTTCTAAAGTGAAATGAAAGGACCTTCCTTTTGTAATGTGTTAATGAGTACATGGCGACCCAAGTGATGAGGGAGGATTTTCAGTGATGAGGGAGGATTTTAGAAGAGATTAGACTTAGCTTGGCTCTGGGAGGTCCATTTGCGTACAATATGGTTTCTGAAGAAGGACCTGGAACATAACACAAGTCATTTGCTGCTACATATTAAGCAATAATCAATTGATACTGAGTTCTGAATATGGCTTAGTGTAGAATTACTAAAGACATGTAACATTAAGCATTCTAAGAATCATCATTACATTCTGAAATACATAACCATAATTACATTCTAAATCACATGGCTTTCTAACAACTCTGTCCTTCCTAAAGATCTCAAGTTTTAAAAGTAGACCAAAGTTATGTGCCAAAACAAGTTACCCACCTTTGGCATCCAAACTAAAGTGTGCCAGTGAAGGGCAAGTTACTTATAACACAGAAGGACTCTTGGTCATGATCCAACTACTACTTTACCAGTTCACTTCAGCCAGTATTTATCAACTACCGTTAGTGTCTATGTACAGTACAGGGCATTGGAAATAGAGAGGTGGATGAGCAACATGTGGACCCCATCCTCAAGAGGCTTATAGTCTTACAGGGGAAGAGAACTGATTCTGCCACCAGACAGTATTATGAAACATAAAGAGTTTTTTTAAAAAACCTCGCTAAAGGAATCACAAAGAAGGGGTGAGTAATTCATACTGAGATTTCAGTCATCAAGGACAGAATGATGTTCTCCTCCCCAAATGATGGGAACATCATTTGGTATGGGTCTCCCACTAGTGACACCCACAGCTGAGGAGCTAGTACCCATTTTTCTCCCTTTTCCCTGGCTTGAAGAGCATCATAAATACCTGGCCCTTATGTGGTCAAGCTGAAAATCTGATACTCCTAAGAAATTGCTGAGTCATGTAGGAAATTCAGAAGGGAGAGAAGGAGAAAGGGAGGGTTAAGAAAGAGAGGGAGAGAGGGAAGAACAACTTAGAAACTATCTTTAAATGTATACTAGAAGTTTTGAACCCTAACCTTGCATTTTGAAAGGTTTCTATTGGTATCGTAGCTCCACACTTCTTCATTCCAGACTAGTAGTTCTCAAATTGTTTCAGGGAGTTTTTAATCTTCTTGGAGCCACTGAGAATGAGAATGATGGGTGGAGGGGAAAGGGAGATGCTGTACAGGATCTCTCACAGCTCTGCTTTAAACTGCTCCAAATATTGGAATTCCATATAAGATTGTTTTAGGAGATGTCCCATTGCTATAGTTAAAACAGTTTGAAAACCAAGGTTTTCAGTTTGAAGACCTTGGAGATAAAGGAAATTGAATGCCCAAGACATGCTATTGACATGTATGGTCAGAGGTCCCTACTTTTCTGTCCAATTATGACTTATCATAGAACACTTTCTCAGCAGAATCTACTTTTGAAATACAAATAAATGCATACAGATGTAGGACTCTATGAATCAAGGCCAGTGGGTCTTTAGCCATTGCCTGTTAAGGCTCCTGATATTTGCTGAATTGAGGAGGAAGCTGAAAGCTCATTCCTGGATCTGACTCTGTGGCTTGCCCATTAGTGGGACTTACCTCTTCCCCTCATCTGTTCTTTTCCATTTTCTCAAATGCCTCCAATTTCATCATGGACATGCTCAGCTTCTATCAGATAGAACAAATTCTCCCAAGAGGATGGAGTCCAGCCTCTCTGTCGGGTTCTACCTTGCATTTGATGTGCAGACTTTGGGCACACAAAGTCAACTACTGTTTATGTTTCAATGTGCTGATTGTCAAGTCAAGAGTGAAGAGATTCTGAGATTTTTTTTTTTAACATTGTTTGAGTTGTCCTTGAAAACGATGCCCAATTTGTCAGATTTCTATCCTGTGCCAGTTTTCATCCAGTTTAATGCGTGAACTCTATGGATTTTATAAATGACGTCTTCTGGATCATGTTATCTGTTTACACTGATCTTAAGTGTATGTAAAGGTTATTTGACTAGATGTGTCTTTTGGGTTTTTTTGTTTCTGTTTTTTTTTTTTTTTTTTTTCCAGCAGAGAATAAATGGTCATCTCAACATTTGTTTGGTAAAAGAAGCAAATTGATATGAAATTGTATATTTATGCATGTTTTTTTCCCTTTCTGATATCTCTGCCTCTTCCTCTCTCTATTATTAAAGGAAGAAATACCCCTGGAAAGCCAATGAGAGAGGTTAGTGAGATTCAGGCTCACGGCCATGGCTTCTGTCTGTCTCATCCTGCTTTTTATGTTTAGCGTTTGTGTAAGAATTGTGTGTGTGCACGCGCATGTGTGTATTACACATTGTGTCATCATGTAAGGATGGTAGTCACCTCTCCACTTGCAGCTCATGAGGAACATTCCTCAAATGTTCATTGCCGTTGTCATCACCATGACGACAAGACTGGGGTTGGGGGAGCAAGAATCTCTTTAAAATGGCAATCCTTTGTAGTCCCTAGGTTGGAATCCTGCAGTTCATCATCTGTTGCCATTTGCAACACAAGCAAAATCTTCAAACTAAATTTAGCCTTGAACATAACTGATGAGTCATAAAGCTTTCTTCCACTTCCAGGACCTTAGCATTTTCTGCCAGCGCCCTTAGTTTTTATTCTTCTGGGATGACTTCATTTTGCTTTTGTTTCCTTTTTTCTTGGTTCCTACGCTCTTTCTTTCCCATTTTAGCGAACATTTTTTGAGCACTTACTGTGTGCCAAGCATTGTTCTCAGCACTTGCCATCTTTTTCATCATGTCATCTTCATGACAAACCTGTGAGGTAGGTACTCTTATTAACCCCGTATTACAGATAAGGAGACTGAGTCAATGAGAGAGTAAGCAGTGTGTCCCAGGTGACAGAGCCAGGATTTGGATCCAGGCAGTCTGGCTCCAGACCCACACTCTTAACTCTCATGTGAAAGGCTTACATCATCTCAACGTATCCTTCAGAAGATGATCTTTTTTATTTGGTATTTGAAGCCACACAGAACCATAACCAGTTCGATTAAAAAACTAAATATTGGAGTCTTGAGAGTTTTTTAAAATGCCTATTTATGGGTTGAAAGGGATAGGGTGCAGTCTTATCACTGAATGTGGTTTGAGGTTTTACAGTGAAAGATGCTTCTTACTCCTATTCCACCAGGAATATTGTCTGAATATCAAATTACCTAATTAAGTGACTGCTGGGTGACAAAAAATGTTAACTGACAGCCCAAGTAAAAACAAGGTTGTCTTTACAAAGAATTTAATCTGCAGGAGGAGAGAAGGAAAGCTCTCCCATGGGATGGCAGTGTTCTGGGAGACAGGCTGGATGGGTGGAGAGTCCTTCTTATATGAGAAGATTCTGGACTCCTTAGCAATAGGATGGACTAGAGTGACCACTGATTCATTTCAACACAGGAATCATAACGAAAACTGTGCCAACATCGTGCCATACAAGTCTAATCAATTTAATGATCCTTCAGTGTGTCTGTGCCAGTGCCTCCTTCCAAGGCTTTGGGCAGTGGGGCCAGGGAGGGAATGGTAGGCTGGGAGGAGAAATTGAGGAAACCTGACTTGGTGAAGCATTGAATGCTCCTGACGGTTTGCCTGGTTCATGTACTTCGTATGTGAGACTTCTTGGGTTCATTCTTATGGTAAGTGCCCCTTAAAATTTATTCATTTTAACTTTTTGTAGAAAAATGCACCATAATTTTGACCATTTTAAACATGTTTCATTCACAAATGAATTTTAGAAAAGGCTAGCATGTGTAATTGAAGTGATATAGGCATTTGCAGACTTGACTACCTGAGGTGTATGGTGTTCAGACAAGTTTCCAGAAGCCAAAGAATCAAAACAATAATGACCTTTTTTAATGCTATGAAAATATCCCAAATGTACAGTAGACCAGATTTTTTTCAGAGATTAAATTATAGAGAAGAAAAGATAAGCAAATTTCACTGTAGTATTCTGGCTTTGCGTTGGCCAGTTGAATGCTAACAGTTTATCTGGGAATTGTATTTTTAAAAATTAGAGCACCAGATTGCTATTGAGGTCTTGGATCTTTGCCAGAAAGTCTCAATTCCAATCGCTGTGGAAAACAATTCCCTCAGGCACTGGTGGCGTGTGAGACTAAATGTGTTGCAGTTAGTGCCAACTTGGAAAAACATAACAACTGCTAATGTTCAAGGCATAGTGCCTTTGTGTTCAATAATCCTTGCTTAAGAATGGATTAAATTAATACTTTCTATAGACATAGTTTTCTGTCACCTTGTGCCTGAAGGTGATTGCAAAGGTCTGAATCCTGGCTGCTTTTCAGTACCTCTTATACTTCATAGTATGAGATTGTAATTTTGACTTTAGAAAAATCTGTCAGGTAAAATTAATGACCTCCCGAATGCTCTGCCTTACACACATGGATAATAGAACTAGGATACAAATCTACTTTCTATATTCATGTCACAGTGCAGTCTTACCCCTCCAATGGATTAAAGTATGATTCTTTGGGGCAGTAGTTTGTAAAAGAGATTGACTTCTTTTTTCTGGATCTAATGAAAAACTCCATGGAAAAAACTTAGAATTATTATTCTGGTAAAGCAGGTATTTAGTGAAGTAACCAAAGGCATAATCTAGATTATGAGGTGACTCTAAAAGTTATTTTTATAGCACAAAGATGGCCACAAGGTCATTTGTGAAAATGCAGCAGTTTAAACCAGTTAAAGGCCACCCAACTTTTTGTGGGAGTGTGCATGGCTCATTAAGAATAATGAACCTCTGTTTTCCCTGGCAGATTTTTACATAGCAGATACCCCTAGAACTTATGCTTCTTGAGAGACTCAAGAATTTTCCTTCCAGGTAGTAACTGAACAGCATTTCAAGGAAGAGAAGCACCACTTGGCTATATAATCTATAAATGCATTTACTTGTTTTATTCTATTTTGAACTGCCATCTACATCCCCTAGCACACAGCCTAAAAAGACACATTTTGATTATCGATAAGCTGACAGGAAAAAAATGAGCTTTCCCCCCTTTTTTGTTGATGTTTTGTAATATGTTTTCTAGCTACTGTGGGTCATGAGAAACACTTCGAATGACATTCAGGCATCAGGTTGTAAAGGTCTTGGGCTTTGTTTTGACTGATTTTGTTAATAACTGTAAAGATTGCTAGTAATTAAAAATTCGCAGTTAGTCCATCTATTTTCAGTTTATGCATGAATAATTATGCAGATTTCCCAGGGTTGCTGGATAGTCAAAAATAGATACAGGGGAAGCCCTCCAGCTTGGTAGCAGCAGTTACATATTTGTACTCTGAGCTCTAAGGAGCAGCAGAGGCCCCACTGTGTCGTCTTCCTGTGGTTTTTATGGCACAGAAAGCCAAAAATGATTTCAGTTCTTCACTGAGGGCTGCCAAACTATTGGTCCACTTTATGAATAGTGCATATGCTTTGTTAAAAATGTTTATACTTGCAGTCTCAACCAAAATCCAAAGCGATTTTCTAAAATATAATTCTCCATGAAATTCTTTGCACTAATAAAGCACAAAAAGATATACAAACTTGGTCACCTTAATAGAAATGCCTGAATGACATTAAACTTTTAATAAGTCTTCAATTGTGGTGTCATCACTGTGTAAGTGCCTGCCCATGTAATCCTCTTCAGATCCTCCCATATTTTGTAGAGAAGATAAGATAGATATATATCTCTTGAAATAAATATTAAAACAATACTCTCCCTAGTCTATCTTTAATTTTTAATTGGGATTTTAACAATTATTATGGGAATCTGTAAAGTTGATTCATGGCAAGGTAGTAATAGCCTAGTAAAGCATTTCAGTTCCAAAGACAATACTTGAATAGTGGAAGGATTTACCAATGTGCAATAATTAAAATTAGCCATATAAAACTATGGGACATAGATGAAAAGGCAAGCCATAAAGTATGTCTCAGATTATCTTACTGTAAAGCTGAATTTTGCTACAAAGTACCCAGGGACATTATGCTGTTCTTTTTTTCCATGCTGGGAGATTCTTATTAAAAGGCTATTCTGATAGTTAGTTAACCCTCATTTAGGAGGAGATCTAAGATGGATTCACAGAATACCCAAATGCATACAATATATGTTGGTCACCTTATAATTAGGCTCTAGAGTAATTTGGAATGGGAAGTAATTTTTATTCTGAGGTGTCCTAATTCAAATGTTAATAGTGCACCAAAAGGTCAATTCAAGAGTTTATTTTTCAACCCAAGTAAAAGCAGAGAGAAAATAGCCACCTCCACCATAGCCTCAGAAGCAAGCCAACAGCCTGAAACAGCTTTGAAAGGAAAATTTCAGCTCTGAAATGAAATGAAAATTTCGTGTGATGGGGGTGATATTGGAGGTAATGGTGTGGTAGTTGTGTGGGTGACAGAGGTGGTGATGGTGGTTTGATAGTAAAAAACATTAGTACAAGTAGACACTCATAGTCAAGGTGGAAAAGATGTATCCCATCACGGAATATTCCTGTTCTGCTAGAAATCTTGTGCTTATCTGTGGAATTCTTTTGATTGATATATATTTACATTGGGAACATGAGTGTAGCTTGACATTTTTCCATTTAAACACCAGTAGCCTGCTCCAACATTAAGCTGATACTAACAAACAACGTGTAATGGCTTCATTAACAAGGCTTTGCTTCTTCCTGGAAACTGGTGAAAAATCAAACCTTGTTGTGTATACCCTCGATGCAGCTTCTGTGTTGTCTTCACCCAGAAATGGGGAATGATTTCCCAAATGGCAAAGAAACAGAGTGATGCTATCTGCACCTGTTGTAAAGTCTGTCTGTCTTTCTCTTTGTTTTCCAGGACACAATGTAGGAAGTCTTTTCCACATGGCAGATGATTTGGGCAGAGCGATGGAGTCCTTAGTATCAGTCATGACAGATGAAGAAGGAGCAGAATAAATGTTTTACAACTCCTGATTCCCGCATGGTTTTTATAATATTCATACAACAAAGAGGATTAGACAGTAAGAGTTTACAAGAAATAAATCTATATTTTTGTGAAGGGTAGTGGTACTATACTGTAGATTTCAGTAGTTTCTAAGTCTGTTATTGTTTTGTTAACAATGGCAGGTTTTACACGTCTATGCAATTGTACAAAAAAGTTATAAGAAAACTACATGTAAAATCTTGATAGCTAAATAACTTGCCATTTCTTTATATGGAACGCATTTTGGGTTGTTTAAAAATTTATAACAGTTATAAAGAAAGATTGTAAACTAAAGTGTGCTTTATAAAAAAAAGTTGTTTATAAAAACCCCTAAAAACAAACACACACACATACATACACACACACAACTTTGAGGCAGCGCATTGTTTTGCATCCTTTGGTGTGATATCCATATGAAATTCATGGCTTTTTCTTTGTTTGCATATTAAAGATAGATAGGACTTCCTCTAACACCACCAAATGACTACTTCACACTGCTCATTTGAGAATTGTCAACTGAGTGGGGCGGGCTGTGAGTTTTCATTTTATATATCTATATATATATCTATATGTCTATAAGTATATAAATACTATAGTTATATAGATAGATAGATATGACTTTCTATAGACTTTTTCCATTTTTTAAGTGTTCGTGTCACTTCTTCCTAATGGAAAGAAATTACTTCTAGTCATCCAGGCTTACCTGCTTGGTCTAGAATGGATTTTTCCCTGGAGCCGGAAGCCAGGAGGAAACTACCAGACTAAAACATTGTCTACACCTCCAGATGTTCCTCATTTTAAACTTTCCACTGACAACTAGAGTATTGAATTTTTTTAAAGGGAACATGTGAATGAATACACAGGACTTATTATATCAGAGTAATCGGTTGGTTGATTGATTGATATATTCGGCTTCCTGCTGCTGGCAATGCCACGATTTAGATTTAATGATGCTTCAGTGGAAATCAGAAGGTATTCTGACCTTCTGAGCATCCAAAGGCATTTTTCACTCCCAAGCAGTAGCAGGATGATGACAGGGCTGGAGGGCTATGGATTCCCAGCCCATCCCTGTGAAGGCATAGGCCACTCTTTCTTTAACTGAAGGACTGGATGACTGTTCATAATACATAAAGTTCTCTGTAATTAATTAATTACAACTAAATTATTATGCCCTCTTCTCACAGTCAAAAGGAAGTGGGTGGTTTTGTTTTTGTTGCTGGTTTTTTAACTCTATTTTCCCATGCCGGATGAGTTTTTAAATGCCACAAGACAATTTAAAATAAACTTTGGGAAAAGGTGTAAGACAGTAGCCCCATTACATTTGTGATACTGACAAGTATCAACCCAGAAGCCCATGAACTGTGTTTCCCTCCTTTGCATTTCTCTGCGAGTAATTCCACACGGGTTTGTAAGTAAGTAAGAAGGCAAATTGATTCAAATGTTACAAAAGTAAAAGCTACTCCAAACCCTTCTTGGGGGGTTAGACAGGTTAAATATATAAACAAACAAACAAACAAACACTGCTCAAAAATTGGAGAAAAGCTCAAGAGGAAAAGCTAAGGACTGGTAGGAAAAAGCTTTACTCTTTCATGCCATTTTATTCCTCTTTGATTTTTAAATCATTCATTCAATAGACATCACCGTGTGACCTATAATTTTGCAAATCTGTTACCTCTGACATCAAGTGTAATTAGCTTTTGGAGAGTGGGTTTTGTCCATTATTTTATTAATAATAATTAACATCAAACACGGCTTCTCATGCTATTTCTACCTCACTTTGGTTTTGGGGTGTTCCTGATAATCGTGCACACCTGAGTTCACAGCTTCACCACTTGTCTATTGCGTGATTTTCTTTTTCCTTTATAATTTTCAAAAGAAAACCCAAAGCTCCAAGGTAACATATTACATGAAGATTTGGTTTTTGTCTTGCATTTTTTTCCTTTATGTGACGCTGGACCTTTTCTTTACCCAAGGACTTCTAAAACAAACTAAGATTTAAAACAAGGGGTTACTTTACATCCTACTAAGAAGTTTAAGTTTCATTCTAAAATCAGAGGTAAATAGAGTGCATAATTTTGTTTTAATCTTTTTGTTTTTTCTTTTAGACATTAGTTCTGGAGTGAGTCTGTCATAATATTTGAATAAAAATTGAGAGCTTTATTGCTGCATTTTAAGCATAATTTGGACATTATTTCGTGTTGTGTTGTGTTGTTTATAACCACCAAGTATTAAACTGTAAATCATAATCAATGTAACTGAAGCATAAACATCACATGGCATGTTTTGTCATTGTTTTCAGGTACTGAGTTCTTGAGTATCATAATATATTGTGTTTTAACACCAACACTGTAACATTTACTAATTATTTTTTTAAACTTCAGTTCTACTGCATTTTCACAACATATCAGACTTCACCAAATATATGCCTTACTATTGTATTATAGTACTGCTTTACTGTGTATCTCAATAAAGCACGCAGTTATGTTACAAAAAAATGTTGATTGGACTGCAGTACTTTGTTTTTATTTTAATTTAGTTATTTACTTTTTAAATAGGTAATACATGCATATGAGTAAAAAACTATAATCTAGAAAGACAGTGAAAAGACTCCCAACTACCCTTTCCCCCATATCATCCTCATTGCCCTGAGTAGACATTATTAATTTCTTATTTAGTCTTCCAAAGTGTCTTTATTATTATATAAGCAATTAAAATATATGTTCCTTTTTTTTTCCTATTATTTCACAGGATATAGCATTCTCTGTACCCAGTTATGTGCCTTACTTGTTTAAATTTAAATATGGACTCAAGAAATCTTTCTTTCATTTAAATATATAAAATGCTTTCTCATTCTTTTTTATAGCTGTATAATATTTCATTATATGTTCACAGGCTATTTATTTTATTTAAGCAATTCCCTTTGGTGGGATATGTAGTCTGTTTTCAGTCTTTTGCTATAACAAACAACATTGCACATTTCTCATTACATCATTTCATTTGTGCACAAATATATCTGTGGGATACTTCCTAGAAGTGAGATTGCTGGGTTAAAGGGAGTAAGCATTTGTAGATTGGGAGATACATTTTGAGCAGTGATAGTCAGTCATAGTGTTTGTTGTGTTTGTTTGTTTTTTGTTTTAATAATGACAAGTATATTAAGTCAGTTTGCAATTCATACTTTGCTTCCGAAGAGAATTTCATATCACTTCTATTCTTGTTAATGTCACCAGACTTAAGAGGATGCATGAGTAGTAAAGAGGATGCATGAGTAGTAAGAGACACTTAAAACGATGTCTCAGAACTGGTTCCAGGGAAGACTCCCTTACCATAGTCAATCACCACCACGGGGAGAACCTCTCCTTTGCCCCTGCCCTGCTCTGTTTCTTGCCCTAGCTGCAAAGGAGGCTGAGAAAGTGGGTAGCAATGTCAGCACTTCTTAGGGAGAGGCTATCTTTACCTATTCCCAAGGTTCATGGTTGGGAGGGGTTCCCCCAACAGTGTTCAGATACTGGTGAGCCAAAGGAATAACATAAGTCCACTAGGTGCAGCCTATCCTAGTGATTTTGGAAATAACAGGAGATGATCCATCGCATTAGAAATGATGTTAGTAGATGTGGCATCTCTGCTGTGAATCACTTGCTAATTTTTTGAGAGTAGGGTGATGATGCTCACCCAAGTGACTACCACATCGAAACACTGCCCTTGACATCCACATATACCAAGAAAAATTTTCATCCTATTTAAATAAACAAATCATTTATCCTTCCCACCATTACCCGAACCTACCTTTGTTTGAAACACCCAGACTGGCTGTTTTGGTGACACTTAAGGATGTAACTGAGGAATCTTCAACACTTCACCACGTCTAAGACAACCGTGTGTGGATGATTCTGAGGAGGCATTTGGTTTTCCATTCCATACTTGGCACACACTAGAAGAGACAGAATTAATTCAGTTAAAAAGTAAAATGGATCAAGCTGGCACAGATTATGCACCGGCAAGCAAAATGTGCATTTGGGAGAAAGCACCAAGACTAATGGATGTGTTCTGTAGAGCTGCGATGGGATTTCCCTTAATTTGTAATGCTCTAATGGTGGAATGAATACAAAGGCAGGCACTGGCACACTTGCAAAGACTTTGCCTTCAAATTAAGTGTAGGAAGGACACGAATCAAATTCTTTCCCACAGTAGCAAAGCCATTGGAGTAGGAACTATAAACATGCTCTTCAATGCCCCTTGCACGTCAGTGTACTGTGATCTCATGGACTTAACTGACAACACAAGAGTGGCAGCATGCCCAGCATTCCACAATAAACAATATTGTGTGAATGTGTAAAGTTTGGGGATGTCTGAGAGTAGCTTTTGTGTACAGAAGAGGTGATCTACAGTAACTTGAGGTTTAAATGTTATATGTACATACTTACGTGTGTATGTACATGTGTGTATTTTATATACATTCAGGATTTTAGCTCTTCCATACGTTTATTTTGAAATAATTCAAACAAGAAAAACAAACAAAAGAAAAATTGCAAGAACAGTACAAAGAAAGAACCCACATATACCCTTTACCCAGGTTAATGAATTGTTTACATTTTGCTTCATTTACTTTACTGTTCTCTCATTGAATAGATGATAGTTTTTTCTGAGCCATTTTAAGAATAAAGTTGTAGACATCATGCCTCCTTACATTTAAATACATCATGTACATTTCCTAATATCTACGACATTCTCTTGCATAACCATAGTACAATTATCAAAATAAAAAAATTATATATAGCTATCATCTACTCTACAGTCCATATTCAACCAAATATTGTCAATTGTGCCAATGATGTCTTTTATCATTATATATCTTTCCCTCGTCTGGCATCTAATTCATGATTTCATGACATTTAGTTGTCATCTCTCTTTAATCACCTTTGATCCGGAACAGTGTCTCTGCCTTTCTCTGTCTTCAAAGACCTTGACATTTTTAACAGTACAAGACAGTTACTTTGTAGGATGTGCATCAATTTGGGTTTGTCTGATGTGTTCTCATGGTTTAGATTCAGGGTATGCATTTTTGTCAGGAATACTACACAAACCATGATGTGTCCTCAGCATGTGATACCAGGAGGCACATTCCCATTCTTGGTGCTGTTAACACTGATCATTTGGTAAAGGTGGTGTCTGCCAGCTTTCTCCACTTGGTATACATTTTAAAACCTAATTTTTCATAAATCTTTAGGTTCAACTTAGAAATTTTATTTTTAGATATATAAATGTAGACAATTTGTATGAAGTAAGAACAGTCACTTTTAGTGAGCAGACTTAGCCATGTCGAGTAGTCTGAATTTTTTTGTTCTAAGCTGTATCTATACACTTAATGCGCTTTATTTTCAAGCCTATCTAATATCTCACAGGGAAGACCAACGCCAACCAACAGCACCTCCACCATACCTAACTCACATATATTGAGAAAAATTAAACGTATAAATATAGTGAATCTCAATTCCTCTGAAACATTCCAATAGCATATACTGTATAAGTCCAACTTTTTAAATTCATTTTGAAATCACTTGTGTAAAAATACACATTTTACATTGGAACCTAAGACTTATCTCCCCAATTTGCTAATATGTCAAATTGCCACAAACATCTCAAGCACTTTAAACAAACACAGATTATGCCTAAATTCAACATAAAAGTATTAAAACCAAGGGTTAGGTTTACTCCACCATCTCTTTGTTTCATTTTAAAACTTCCTAGGCTTTCAAGACTTATTTGATAAGGTGTGTATTAAAATGTGACCCAGGAGTGCTAAAGTCTTTGAATCTCATAGTTTTGAGGGTGGCCACATGAAGTCTGTAGCCTTCAGCCTCCTGTGGTTATTCAAGGATGCCCTTCAATTGATAATAAATTTATCTGTGTGCCACAATGTGAAAACATTTGGGAAACTCTGCACTAAGAGAATACTTTTATCATCATAACAAGAGTTGAGGTTACTGGCTCAACAATTCCTATCCATACTAAAATTAAGCATCCTGGGCATGTTGACAATTTTTATCAGCCAAAAATTTGTGACTGGACTGGGTAACTCTTTTGATGCCACAGAAGGATAATCACTCAATCCCTTTTTAAAGTCAATAAGACAAGTGGGGGACTCCAAGCCTGTACTTTCCAGATATGATTGATTTCACACCCTGTTTTCCTGGGTTTGATTTCCCCCTTTATACCTGTGTGGGTAGCTGCAAGCCCCTATACCAGGGCTCCCCTAAGTCCTAGTTTGCCTGCTTCATTCATGGCTACGTCTGTTGTCTTGACATCATTATTAATAGCACCCTTTCACTCTCAATGCCCTGGTTAGTAGGTACCTAACATCTTTCAAACACACTGTTTCTCAATAGAAGTGTTGTTGGTATTTGGGTTGGGACAATTCTTCATTATGCACAACTGTCCCTCACTTTGTAGTTCTCCCAGTCATTGTGATGACAAACCTGCCTCAATACATTTCCAAATGCCTCCTAGGGAAGCAGTAGAAAATTGCTGATTCTCTTTACTGCCTGAATACAGGCTGTGTTCTTTTCATACTCTCCCTAACTGGCAAGCTCCAGCTCTTAGAGATATTTTAACAGCATTAGTTCTCGCATACTTTTCCTATTTTGTCCAGCCCTCCAGTCACTTCTCTGAAGTAATTTAATGATACTACCCTAGCTGAAAACATTGACCATCATATAAAAGCCAGCAAATAAAGAAGTATTTTTCGACAGTAGAGAAAGAAGCTATCCCCATTCATTTGCATTCATTTAAATGTAACATCTGGACTCTTGGTGTTTTGAGCTTTTAGATACACCCCAGCCACATCCCCTCTTGTCTTCAGAGACAGTGCATCCATACCCTTGCTTCTGGGAATATCAGCTGCTGATGGCTCACAGCTGTGTCCCTCTCAGGACACCGAACTGTCAAGACAGAGAACTGTCTTGCCCAAGGTAACACCACCTGTCACAGGGAAGTCGCCTGGGCCAATACTGGCTGATGTAGAAAAACAAAAACCCAGTCCCCTTGCCTCAATTTGGGACAATTCTGAAGGGCCATCCCAGCTCTGGAGCACCGCCTGGAATCCACCAAGGCCTTAGTTGTAATCACTTCATAGTTCAGCTTCTCCTCTGCCCTTCCTGCCTTCTCACTTTCTTCAGGTGTCTCTGTTATAAGCACCCCGCCCCCAGTAAATCTTCTGCAGAGAATACTCCATCTCAAAGGCTGCTTTGAGGGAATCCAGTCTAAAACATTGCTGTTTGTTTCACTAAGAAAGAGTTGTGAAACAAAGAAGTAACCTAAGCCATTCTACCTCTCTCTCCATCCTGCTGCTTACTACAGCCAGACTGCCCCTTCCAACTGCTTGGAACTGCGAGCCTAGCCTTCCTCACTCACTGCTGCACTGTTTTTAAAAAAAAACAAAAAAAAAGATACACAAATATTTTACATCTTTATGGGGCTACCTGTGAGATTTTGTTAT